CTACTGATTCCAGGAGTGTTGCTGATTGTTACACCTCTTGTATAAAGATGGCTTGTTGGTCAGGCTAGCATATTCACAGCTATAACTCGATAACACAGCTGAGAGTTAGTCACAACTCTGGTCCGCATGACCTTCCTGTCCTGAGTCAGACGTGTTGCACAGCGCTTCAGAGGAAAAGATCCACAAATAGCACAGAGGGACGGCAAGATATGCTTTTGCAGATTCTTTGTCAAATAACTCTTCTTGTAAACATAGCTGGGAGCATATAATCCTGGACAGAATGTCTGAGTGAAGCTGTCTAAACTGTCATCACAGGTCTGGAGAGGCTCCAACCCACAGTTATCTGGAGTTGGGATGTACTGAGCAGACACAAGGAGCCACACAGGCCACCTGCAGGAATAAATGACCTGCTCTTTGGCATGTAGGCCAAAACACAGCAGAGAAACCAAGTCAAGCATCATCCTATGAGACCAGGCCCTCTGGGAGAGGAGTCCTGCGAGCACATATGGAAGCAGAGAGGGCGAAAACGACCTGTAAGTGTAAGCTGGAGAACAAATACAGATCCCAGAAAACAGAAATCTTAACTGCCGTCTTCGGCTCCTTGGAGGGTGTCTGCAAAGTAGCTTTGGAAATATTCATGTTACAACAACCTGAATGCCTTCCATTGCATATCGATAGCCTCTTTCGATCATATGGGAACATGTAATCCATCCATTTCTCTGCCTGATTCTCCCTCTGCGCAGAGACTCAATTCCCATCCACCTCCCTCCAACAGTTTTCCTTCTCCCCTAAGCTCTATTCCCTCCTTCTTTTTGCGTTCCCATACACACAAAAAAAAACTAATTACAACACAGCTAAACCTATATGAACAGCAAGCCTCTCATTCTGCGGGAGAGGGAGGGTGAAACGCTTTCTGCCATCAAACCTCAAAATTGCAGCATGTCAAACCAAGACCCAAAGCTGGCTGTGTGCAACAGTGGGATCACTCATCAGCAATGTGCTCAACATGATCGTCAGGGGAACCCTTTTGTAATCACGGCTGCTTTAGCTCTTGCTCAGAGTTTTGGTGACTAAGGCATGTGGGTCTGGCTATTTCTGTACACCAGACAAGAAAGATATTTCAGTGTGAAGTGGTGCAGTAACCACTTAGCAAACACAAAGCCATCCAAATGACTTGCACGTCAGTGTTAACTCCAGGAATGCTTAAGAGTAAACTCTTTGCATTGCAGCTGAACTGTTTCAAAGGCAAATGCACAGACACACACTCCCACACTAGGCAAGAAGGGGCACGGAGCCTAAAATAAGGAACTGATGGATCAGTTCCGCTGCAGCTGGCTACTACCATTGACTGCCCAGTAAGAGACGAGTCTGAAGGCTAATTTTAAAACGCCGTGCTACTCCTACACATTTTTGTTACCAACACTGGCATGCCAAAAGTGTTGTGTCACAATCCCAGTCTCCGTGCGTGGGGAAAATAAGGACAAACACATTTGGCAATTGGAATTATTCAAATACAGAGACTCAATTAAAGCTTGTTTTTTCCAAAGAGAAGGAGGATGTGTGTTTAGGCATGCATCACTTGCTGTTAAGTCTGTCAGAAAAAACACTGAAAAACACTGAGTCACAGTTTGAACTGTACAGCAATACAACCAATGCCATGAGTGAACAATAGGTGCACAAAGTCCAAGCATAAGCACAAACACATGGTCTAATAAATATGTCATTACGAGGACCCCGATACAGTACATTTTCAACACAGTGCGGGAAAAAAAGAAACCATTATTCATGCTTAAAGCCTTAATTATCTTTAGAACAAAATAATGTGTCAAACTGTAAAATAAAAAAAGTACAGGTTTTTGAGAAAAAGTCAAAACTATGGTTTTCATAAATTGTTGGGAATGCAAATCGATTTTTTTATTTTTATTTTCCAGATGTGGATCTAAACGTGGAAAAGTGGAAACAGGGTTAATGCTACAACATGGAGCTAAAGTTATTAGCTACTTGAAGATTCTTTGCAATTTTCTGTAAAAACTAATCACATCATCCATGATAAGGCATTTTAAGGGTGTTGCATTAAATGCATTCCTGGTATATAGAGCTCTGTGGGCTTTCCTTTCTGTCAAAGTTCCTTAAAGATAGCGCTTGTGAGGTTTTTATTTGTTTTTTTCTTCTTGTGCAGCTTCAGTCTCTCCTCACAGTCTCAACACCTTACTAATAAAGGGGGAAAGCCTCAAAAATAGTTCACTAAATCAATCCTCAGGAATGATTTCGAATTTTCAGGAATTTGTATGTCCTGTTGTTAGTTTTATCTAACCCTCCATGGACCTTCTTGCAGGATTCAACAAAACAAGACCCCCTCAGAGACTCTACTTCCTAACAGCTGCATATTTTGCAACTTTTTCAGACCATAAGAAATACTGTAAGAAACAGTATTGTATTTAATTCCCATACATGGCTCTCAGACCAATCCCAGTCAACGGCTCCACGGCAAGATGTTTCACTTTGGGATTGTTTCCCCTGTAAGATGTGGCAACACTGACTGCCAACTACAACTGCAACAGAGGAAATGTCCCAGGGCGTCTAATTAGTTCATTTAAAGCTTTACAGTAGACAAATAAAAACACTAAACATTTCAAAGTATGAAATTGGGTAATAGCTCAGGAGAAGAATTGAAATACAGAATGGTTGAACAGCCAAAATAAGTCTTTATAATCCAATTACACTGTCAGCCTCCTTTTGTGAGTCCATTAAATAACAAGTCCAACGCAAAGTGGGAAATCACAAATGCCAAGACAAAATCCGAAATTTCAGTCTCCTCCACCCAGATCATTTTCTATGAGGTAAGCATTAGTTGTTTGGCTGCCTGTAGACTTTTGGGCAACACCATCACATGCAGAATCTGTTAAATGTATTACAGTTTGGGCTGCCAGAGTGATGAAGTCATGTGGGTGTGTATGCACAGGATAAGGTTCAGTGTTGAAACACACACAAGAACTACCCTACTGACTCTCTTGGAGGTGACACCCCAATTATGCATCACAAAGTGGGTGCAGTGGCACAAGTCACAGTACAAGTAGGTGACAGAAGGACACGGAAACCATGGTGATAAGAGAGTATGTTGATGCAGCTATTGAGTCTGGAAGACAAACTGGCTGTAAGTCTTCCTTAGTGTCCGTGTGTGCATTGATTGTCCTACTTGGTCGGTGTGCCATGGTAACCATTTGCATGCTGTACACAGAATCATATCACTATTTAAACCTAAACCCATGGCTTTATCCATGTGCAGGAATCCTTATTAGGATACATTAACCCTAGTTCGCCTTAGTTCCCAAATCTCTTCCCTTTTAATTTCCTCCTCGAGGCAGCAGTGCATTAATCTCCATCTGTCAAGGTCTAAAACGGGTCCCGTTTTACTGTAGAGTCTCCACAGTGCAAGCCCACATAGACAACAGGCCCCCTTTTAAAAACCAGCTCCAATCCTTCCTTACGCATATTCTCTCTTTTTTTCTCTCTCTCTCTCTCTCTGAGGAAAAGGCTTAACAGGAAGACACTGAAGCTAAGCACAGTTCTTCAGTGCTACCATGAGACCCCGGCTTTGCCCTTTCTTTCCATCGCACTAGTGCGTGTCCTCTGGGTATAAATTTGGGATCAATGGGTACATGCAGAAGAGAGCCGGTGAGCAACGACCCAGTAAACACAACCAGGAGAGGAATGACGCTGGAGATGGATTGAGGCCATTGTCCAAATACACACTACCCTTAATTTGCTTTTTGACATATCATTGAACCAGAATGTAATATAGATTCTTTTTTTTTTTTAAACAACAACAATGACTCTGAGTCCTAATTCAGCTCTGACCATATGTAGCCATCTCTCTCTTCCAAGACCCGAAAGAAATTGGAAACTTTTTTTTACGCCTATGAAGAATGACTGAGCTAGTGGTGGATGACACTCCCTCCCCTTGTGTGTGTGTGTGTGTGTGTGTGTCTGTGTCAGTTTACTGCAGGCATCACTGGACAGGAGTATATGTGGAGCTAACCAAGGAGACAGCTGGTGGAATGGGATGCAAGTGTTGCTGGAGGGTATAAAGTTTCCCTGCAAAGGCATACCCCCACAAGACTGCCCTGTTCTCCCTAATAACACTAAACGGGCTCTGCAATGCGTTTACCAGTCTGTAACAGAGAAGTAGAGAGGCAATATGGGTAAAACTAACACACACACAAAAAAAAACGCCACGTGCACAATGTTGAAACCAACAACACAAACACACACACGGCTGTCTTTGGGCGTGAACGCATCACAACTCTAAAGGTAACAACGCAGCTAAACGAAAAGCTAACACTTAGCCCGTTACAAATCCATCCTGGGTTTAATGTTAACAACCAACTATGGAGCATTGAAATGGGATAAACAAAAGCACAACATGCTCAGTTATTTTACTGTGTTAAATGTTTTTTTTATTTCTTTTATTCCCACCCCTTTTAGTGAAAAGCTGAGATTTGTACGCCTTTTGTATGTCGGCGATGCGTTCACAGGATCAAACCGTGGTGGTGTATTTACGGCCGCTGAGCGAATGGTGAAAAGCCGGTCGGGTAATATCACACAAGCTATATCATGATAGCACATATTAATGGTGTTAAGGCTAGCTAGTCCAGACACTGAATTGCTCGCGTTAATCATTTATTTGCAGTCATTTTTGTCATGAGGTTAAAAAAATGGTACAAAAAGTAATTCGCCGACACCAGCTAGCTGAAACGGTGACGCTTTATTTTCAAAACTGGATAGCTGAGAAAAGAACAAATCCATGAGGCCCAATTAAACCACCATTTACAGTGAAAGAAACCCGTCTGGAGGTTATTTTGGAGACACCCTTTAGAGGTACATATTGGTGTTTAAAGACCCCCACATTTGTTTCCATCCGAGCCCCCCCCCCCGAGGAGAGGAACACCGTTATCCAGTATCATACCCTGTGGTTGAGTCTAAACCCGGGTAGCACTTACCTTGCTTGCTCTCTATTTTTCCCGACATTTTTCGTAGCCAGCAGCTGTGCTCCCACTCAGCAGTTCCAACAAAAACGTTAGCTACCAGACGAGCCTCGCCGTTGTGTCTCCTCCGATTATTCCCTCATTATGGACGCGCAGTTACGTCCATGAGATGATTCCGACGGGTTTTAAGGCGATATATACACATTGGTACGGTCAGAAAAACTGTCTCCCAGTCGGTCTCCGGGTAATTTTCACTGGATACACTCTCTCTCACACACACACAGCAGCAGCAGCACACATGAACCGAGATTCGGGCAGAGGCAGCCCCCTCATTCAGTGTAACAGCGCCCCCTTGCGTGAGGAATTAGTCACAGCAATCTGTCAACAAGAGGATGGGCGTGTTTCAATTTCAAAATCAAGAGAGTTGTAACAAACCGGTGTTATTGTCTGTCCCAAAAGTATGGAAGCCCATTTCCGCCAGTTAATTAAGTCATAATAATGAGATAAAAAGTCAAAATTATGACATATAAAGTCATAATAATGAGATAAGTCAAAATAATGAGATAAAAAGTCAAAATTATGAGTATAAAGTCATAATAATGAGATAAGTCAAAATAATGAGATAAAAAGTCAAAATTATGAGTATAAAGTCATAATAATGAGATAAAAAGTCAAAATTATGAGATATAAAGTCGAAATTATGAGATATAAAGTCATAATAATGAGATAAAAAGTCAAAATTATGAGATATAAAGTCGAAATTATGAGATATAAAGTCATAATAATGAGATAAGTCAAAATTATGAGTATAAAGTCATAATAATGAGATAAAAAGTCAAAATTATGAGATATAAAATAAAGTCATAATAATGAGATAAAAAGTCAAAATTATGAGATATAAAGTCAAAATTATGAGCTATAAAGTCATAATAATGAGATAAAAAGTCAAAATTATGAGTATAAAGTCATAATAATGAGATAAAAAGTCAAAATTATGAGATATAAAGTCATAATAATGAGATAAAAAGTCAAAATTATGAGATATAAAGTCGGAATTATGAGCTATAAAGTCATAATAATGAGATAAAAAGTCAAAATTATGAGATATAAAGTCGAAATTATGAGATATAAAGTCATAATAATGAGATAAGTCAAAATTATGAGATAAAAAGTTGAAATTATGAGACTTTATTATTTTCATTTTTATTCTTTTTACTGGCGGAAATGGGCTTCCATACAAAAGTGAGACATAGGCTATCATAGTGCACTTAGGGGTGTTTGGAGAGTCAAATATTACCCATGGAACAATAAACAAAATGGTTTGTTTTGTCTTTTGCATGCATTTAACAACACATGTAAATTCACTCATTACCAAATCTGTCTTTTTCTTATTTATCTTTACATTTAAAAAACGACTAAGTTGCGTACATGCATTTCTGAAAAGGACGCACGACTAAGGAAAATTTGTAACTTTTAAGTAGTTTTGAGTGCATCCTGACAGATAAAAAAAATATATAGATGAAAAATAAATAGAAACGGCTGCAGGTTTAATGGGCGTTACATGACCTAGTTTAAAAAACAGGACTCCATGTCATTTCACAATCCAATCTGACCTCATCATTGATCTTATAGCAGCCCAATGAAGTCACAGAGTGTCTCTGCATATCAGTTTGATAGATAACAGACAACATGGTTTGTGGGGATATAAAGTAAGTTTAAAAATACATGTTAACAAGTATATTCTCTGGGCTTTAATGCATATAGTTGTAATGCACATTAGGGTAAATTGATTCTTTTTTTTTTTAAATATATTTTATTTATACATTTTCAGTTTTATAAACAAACAGCACAGCAACAAAAGAGCCCCACTAAGACAAAGAGGAATTAGAAAAATAAGAAACATAGGGCAGGGCGAAAATAAAGCAAAACAACAACAAAGACATGCTCTTATAGGATATCTTACAATACAGTAAGTCAACATTTTTTTAAAAAGAATCAGCACCAACTGTTAAGAGATCACAGTGTGTCTCATTGGCCTAGGACAGTATAAGTACATGGTTTCTATACATATTAGTAGTGTGGACAACTGGGGAAATTGATTCTTAAATTGGATTTGTTCCCTATATGGTAGAAATCTACAAAAAACCTCAGAAAAATGTTGATCTTTTTTTCAGTGTAATCTTAGTCACTGACATCTGCCAGCATCTCTGTGGTTGTTCATGATCAGTGTTGTCCACATGTGTTTGGAGAATGTTTCTAAACTGAACTTGTCAAGTTATATGCTGTTTTTTTTCCTTCAATAAAAAAAAATCCAGTTTGGATCAATAAGACGGTGCTGAATTAAATAAAGGACTCATTCTAACATACTTTAGAATACTACAATCAGATCACGTCATATCTGATTCTGTTGGATTGAGACTGTGAGCATACAGAGGATTTACATGTTGACTTCCTTTCTTGTGGTCAAACTTCACCTCTGGTTCTACTGAAATATACTCTTAGTCTAAATATTCTAAAAATGTGTCCTTAAGTTATTTCTCTTAGCACATACTCTATCCTTGCCTAGATAATTCCTTTGCACACTCTGCAGCTTCTTCTCAGCAATATAATTATTGAAGTACATCACTTAAGAATATTGTTTTAGGCTGTTCCAGGTTTTCTTGATCCAGGTCCAATGCCTTCATCACTCTCCAGTGCCTTCCACAGGTCAGCATCAAGGATACTTTATTTTGTCCATCTGCGTTCCTCTGTTAGGTTAGAGTGTCTCCTCATTTTCTATTTGCACCGACAAGACAGGATGAGGCATTTCCTCAACATGTTAACTCAACATGTCAACTAAACATAGCCGTTACTCTCATCTAGTTCTTTTACGTCATGATTAGCCATTCATGCTTCCTATATATTCAAGGATCTGAACTATGCCTATTGTATATTTCCTCAGCAGATCTGAACCAAACGACTGAAAGAGGTCAACAATAAATCAGTATCTGTAAAATGAGTTTAAGTAAATTATGGAAAACTTACATCTTGTTAGTGGAAAAGTTTCTTTCAAATATTGTTATTTAATAATGAATAGCCATGTCTGGAAATACAATGGTTATTTTCTTTTAAGAGTGACTTTGTCATGCAATTAAAAAGTATGTAAACTACTGTGTGTATGTGCAGATTAAATGGAAGCACAGAGCCCCCTGTTGGTCATACTGAAACCTTGAATGCTCATGGAAAAAAAAGAAGGCCACTTTTTTAGTTTTCCTCTTATCTTCCACCCCCATGCTCGAGCTTCTTCTTCTTGCAGGAAATGAAAGAAGTTGCAGCAGAAGAAGAAGGCGGAGGAGGATGGCTTCTGATTTGCCCCTGATTTCAGTGAACTGCTGACTAGAGCGTTTGCCTATTTAGTGCTGCACATTACCCCGGCCATTAAGTAGCAACCATGTACATTATGTCTCTGCCATATCAAGACGGAGCCGATGTGGTCTGTCATCTTTTTATGAATAATGGATCTGACTGAAATGATCTGCGTTCTGCGAGTGATCTGGGTCAGCATGTATGCTGTCAGTGCACTATATAAAAGCAGAGGCATGTTTTAAAAAATACTGACAGAGGGAGTTTGTTGCATGTTGTGAGAGGCTTCTCTGCAGCTTTACCTCACCATCAAAAGTATTTAATCACTTATCAAACCAGAGTCAATGGTTCATATTTACTCTGGCTGTCATTATGCCTGCTGCTCCCTTGTGCATTTGCTTGCACAGCAGAAACCACACCCATGAAACAAGTGCAAAGTGCTTTCTGCATGTGTGCGTGTGTGTGCACTTGTGGGAATGTGTGGGCGTATGTGGTGCAGGGGAAGGAGTGGAAGGAGTGGAATACCTTCCCTCAGGCTATGATAAAGTCACACAGGAAAGACAATGAACTCCTCAGCAGCAGCAGCAGACTTGTCAGGACAGGATAGCTCCAGCAACACAGCCAGATAAAGTTTGTGTGTGTGTGTGTGTGTGTGTGTGTGTGTGTGTGTGTGTCATAGCAGTGATTACTCAGTTTGTCACTGTTGTTTTTAAAGGAGTTGTACACAAATAACACAGATGCAGGGCAACCAAAACAACAGAATAAACTTAAGAACAACTTTTCCCATGCTACACGTGTAATCCAATAATCACCTTTTTCTACCAAGTGTAGTTTTTCATCTTAACCTAAGACTCTCACACAGCGAGGCCTGAAGTAAAAGTGTGAGATCATCAATTTTCCATAAAATAATACTCGTAATATTACTAATAATAGATTTTTTTAGTGTCACAAAGGCTCCAATTCGTGAAAATTATAGTCCATGGACACATATCTGTATAAAGAAAAACTTAATATGATCTGTGTTTATAAATGTCTAATGTTTTTTTTCTTCTTTTGTCTTTCCTCATCTTGCATGCGTCTGTATATCCGGTATGTGGATTACATTGTGCAATGATGTTTGGAGATATTAAGTGGTGATGAAGGATGGCTCTTTCCCTCTGTTTTCTCTCTGCGCATTGTAATTGAAGGGTTGTTTGATTTTGTATGTTCACTATCTGTGTAGACTTTTAATCACACCAGACAGGAAAAAGCTCTCATCAGCCTTTTGTAAAAAATGTATAAACACGGATGTTGCACCACCTGACCTAGACACCAAGTGGGAATGAAACCATTTTTTTTAGAAGTTTACATTAAAACTTGTTTCTCAGATTTATAAAAAAAAAAACAAAAAAAACATTTGGATGTTAATTGCAACAAAATATACAAAAAAGTAATAAGGAAAAAATATTAATTAAAAGCAAAAAGTTTTACATACATATAAACATGGCTGTCTGATCTCCCCCTCTTGATTCGGGCCGGATGTGGTCCGCAGATCATTCACTGTACAGATAGGAAGTAAATGTATGTGAGTTTGTGTCTATCAGGTGTATGGCTTGAGTTGGATTTGAAGGTATCATTTGGGCATGAATTTAGCCTGCCTGGAAAGATTCCTCACGATTTTCTAAACCCTGGTTATGGCCCTGCATATAAACACATATGCACATGTATCTATGCATATGCAAGTGATAGCATGTGTATGTGGGAGATTTATTATCTTATTTTGAATTGAAATGTATACAGTTGTACAGCTGTATCAATGATTCCTTTTAAAGACCCCGCTCTATGGATGTAAATTACAACATGAACTGCAGTTGACCCTTAGGTCTGCCATATTGTAAATAGTTCTCTTGGTATTGTCTTCTTTTGTGTTTTTAAACAAAGGAAGTTTAATTAAATTACATACGTATGTAAAGAATTTTAAATAAAACGTGGTTAAAAGAAA